TCATTTCAGTTCAGTTCAGCTCAGCTCAATTCAGTTCAGTTCAGATCAGTTCAATTCAGTTTAGTTCACTTCACTTCAGCTGAGTTCAGTCAATGAGAACAGACCCTTATTCTCTTAAGTGAGATCACCTCCATGAACCAAAAGTGATTATTTTTTAATCTTTTCATATACTTAAATAAAAAAAAATAAAAAAAATTAACCTTTCCCAGCCACCCCCACCCCTCCATTTTCCCCACCTCTGTTTCCCTGCCCGATTTTCAGGTGTAGGATGCAACAGTGGAGAACGGATGGTGGGTGGGTGGATTTTAGGTGAGTGTTTTTGTTAACGTGGTGAGGCGGTGGTGGTAGGGATGGGTATAAATAGGTGGTGAGGGGTTATTCCGGGATGGGTTTCAAGAAAAGGGTGGTTGACAGGTGGGTCAATGGCCAGTGGGTGTGGTTGCGGCAGAGGAGAAGGGAGTAGTGGCGGAGCCAGCAGGGAATAAGGGGGGACAGCTGTTCCCGCACTTCAAAAAAAAAAACTCTTAGCTTAAAACCATAATTAAGTGGTATATTACATCTTATCAAATGAGACTGTGTAGTGGTGACTACTAGTGAGGGCTTTGAGTTTCTATTCAAGGGATCCAGTGTTCAAAGTTCAAACCTTGCTAGAGGTTTTTTATTTTTTTTATTTTCCAATTTTACCTTATAGGAAGCATGTACTAAATACAATGGAATTTACGAAGTAGAATTTTAATAACAAATAATCTTGCATCATTCACCCATCCACAATCGACAACCATAGGATCAAAACTTATAAACATGATCTTTAATAAATTATACATGGTACCAAGGGCTTGTTCTGTTCAACTTAATTTTTGTTCAGTTTACTTCAGTTTCTAATATTTTTTCTCTCATACACAATCCATTTCATCTCTATTCAGTTCAGTTTAATTCAGTTCAGTGAAGTTCAATTGTTTTCAGTAAATCAGACATGCTTCAAGTGATACTCGCAATTTATGTGGCCAAATGTTTTTAAAACTTTGACCATGCATGTCTCTAGAATTATGTCTAGTATAAGAATAAAATTATCGTGGGAGGTTTATTTGGATTCTTCAATTTGTTATATATTCACTGAATATCAGTTGCTTTTTTTCTTAGACAATACTACAAATGTGAATGATGAATCGACTCCTGAATCTCCTGAAATTGAGAGAGAAGCTCTAACCATTTAAGCTATTGGTTGTTACATTATAATTTCAAATGATATTAAGTAATGTTAAAATATATCCTATCAAATAACACATGTAAGTGTCCCACATTAATTGAACAAGAGAGAGATAATCACTTCATAAGGCTAAGAGGCTATTCCTCCACTGCCATACAATTCTGGTGTAGAGAATTAGAGAAGCAGGGCAATAATGTTGACAAGAATCATTAGGATTACAAGTTTTTAGGTATATTTTGTGAAATTGAAGTTGCGTGGGCTATCCGATTGACTTGCGTTGTTAGTTGAAGAAGTTGTTTTCACTCTACAACTTCAAAATAAATTTCGTGGCAGATATAGTATGGTCCATATTGTTTGGAGGTTGGACTCTTCTAGAAGGTATTATAATAATCTTTAGTGGGCTGGACTAAGTTAGAATGTTGCTATCTTTTTCTTTAAATTAATGATGGCCCAGTAGGCCAAAACTTACTAATACAACACTTAAACACCATATTATAGTTATGTAATTTGATATTTTATTTTATTTATTTATTAATTTTCATAGAGCAATTGAATAATAAATAAAGAATTGCAAATTCTTTTAAGCCTACTTTGAATACTTCTCCTACACCGTTTGTAATTTTCCAACGGTTCTAGATTTCTAGACTATAAAAGAGATATCATAACATTGTGTAGCTGTTGTATAAAAAATCTTATACCACGCAACAAATGTGTAGGTGTTTTCTTGTGTTTTGATGAACAAGTTGCTATTTCATCCATCCTTATCAAAGAGGTAATCATGTATTATTCAGGCAGCAAATTATTTTCAACTAATAATTCAAGTATGTGTTAAATTAGATAGTGGAAACACCATTATTATCATCCCATCCTTATTTAACTCAAATAAAAGATAATAATCCACTAATTAAGCTATTGAATTATCCTTGAAATTAAAAATCACCTTAGGACTTGTTCTCTTCAGCTTATTTTCAATTCAGTTCAATACAGTTCAGCTCCAATAAGTTCAGTTTAGTTCAGCTTCAATAAGTTAAGTTCAGTTAAACTCAATTCAGCAAATCAGAACAGTCCCTTAGTTCCCACTCATTTGGTAAACTCGATCGGTACATGTATGTTTATGCTATAATCTCTAATTTACTTTGATAATTAAGTGTAAGTACAATCTTAAAGTATATAACCAATCCTGGGCTTTAACCATAAGATTAAACTTTTAATTGAGATGATTTTCTAATATGGTATTAAGAGACAATGTGATAAGAAGGTCACATGTTCAAATAAATTTCATCCACCTCTCTTTTCAAGTGGAATAATTCGTGTTGGGTATGAGGAGGCTCATGCTGCTTCCACATTTCAATTCCAAAGGGCTCCTCTCATGTGAGGAAGCGTGATAGAGTAGATATATAACCGATCTTAAACTTTAACCATTAGATTAAACTTTTGATTGAGATGTGCCTCTAAACATACAAAGTGCGCTCCAAAAAAAGAAGAGATAAATAAGTAAACAAATTAGTGTACTCGCGAACTGAAGAATTTCATAACTGGACTAAACTAAACAGTATGATACAGTTGCAATGCAAGCATGTCATTGATACTATGGTACCATAAAAATTAATAAGGTAAAAGTGTTCTTGTTGTGAAAAAATGTATACTTGTGTAAGTATATGTATACCTTCAGAGTAGTTCTTCAAGTTCTTTGGGCAATTTTTGGAATTTGTTTGATTTGGGAGTTGGCCTTGGCTTGTTGGTTAGTGTTTGTTTCTAAAGGATTATCTTGGTGTAATCCCAATATTAGCTAAGTAGTGTAATGGATGATCATTCCATTGTTTTGGAATTTTTTTTTTAATCTGAGCATGCTCCCCACAAAAAAAAGTTTAAATTTCATTGTATGTCCACTATAGTTTCATCCTATGAGAAAAGGCTGAGGTTACTCACAATGAAGGGTGTCGAGTCACTTAAAGAGGTACTTCCTCTATTATTTTAAGTGTCCTACTGAGATGTGCACATAGTTTTAGGCAAAAGGATGATATAATATATAAACGGGTTGGTTAGGAGTACAAAATTTGAAAAGTAAGTAGGAGAAATTTAAATGGGGGACCATAGGTATGAAATAATGGCGAGTCAAAAGAAAGAGAGCGAGATAAAATATAAAATGAGTGAGTTTTTTTTTAAATATCGTAATGTGACACTTAAATAAAAATGATCATTTTTTAAAAGTGATGCACTTAAAAAATACCAAGAGATCAGAGTATATATATGTTGTAATTGTGAGACCTAGATAGACCAAGTTAAAGTGACTCAATCGAGCTTGTTTGACTAACCTTAACCGTTCTTTATCCAAACCCTACTCAAGTTAAATAGACTCAATTTTGTTTGACAAACCATTGCAAAAGTTACTCTTCTCGTTTTAACTACTAGTCAAAGGTGGTGGTGCTTAGTGCACCCAAGCTATATAATTAGTGTTATTGTAATGAACTTTGCCTAATTTTAATTGGCTAGCTTAGCTTTTATTCAACTTAAGGTGCAATACTATACAAAACCTTACATATGCCATTATGACAAGTGTTGAAGTGTATGGAAATGGAGATTTTAGGTTCATTATGTCGGTTCTTGCATCGTGTATGTGTATAGACGAAATCTTAGACCTCAAAGTAGCTATTTAGATTGTATATATTAACCTTTTTAGCGTATGTGTATTGTGTATGAAGTCTTAGTATATATATACGAAAAATGTATTTTTTTCTATTTTTATTTTAAACAAGATAAGAAGAAATAAAGAGAAAGTTCTCCTCACAAGGAGAATTTCTAATGTGAGACGAAAAAATATAATTATTTAATGTATTTGTACGAATACAATCTAGTAATCTACAAGTATTATTACATACAATGTATAGGTGAACAACAACAACAACAATGGTAATAATAGTAATAAAAGTCATGTGACATCATAGCATGTCACGTTAGTCAAAATATAATGGCTTGAAAGCATGAAAGCTTAGCACTAAGAGTCTACTCATATTGCAATATATTTAGCTTATTATTTGGCTTTATCATTAAAAAGCTTATCAAAAAGAATACTAGATTACATTGTGCTTTATGAGATGGACCAAAAATGTCACTCTCTTAGCCAAACCATTAAAATTTAAAAAAAAGATGTTTTCAAAATTTCCGTCAAACTTAAAACTTTTACATTAACCAATTATTTCCACATCTATTACTTTTCATTGTTCAAGCTTTTCCTAAATAAAGAATTTCATTGTACTATTTCCTTTTGTTCATGTTTCATTATCATTGTAATTTGTAAATATATACCATGTTGTATGATTGAATCTATTTTAAAGTGTAAGAATATTCATTTTATTTGGAAAGAACACAAATGGCCTTCAATAATATGATTGCTAGATACTCTATTATATTCAATAATTCACTCATTAATAATTGTAATTTATTAGACATAATATTACATGCATTATGGATGATTATTAACAGATTTAAATCTAATAATTATGTAGCTAAGTAGTGTTATTAGAAAATTTATCGTCATGACATATATATTATGTACACTACTCATGATAATTAATGTGCTACAAAGTACTTGCACGATTGATATTTAGGTATTACTTATCAAACTTGTAAAAAAAAAAAAAAAAAAGTATTACTTATCAAAGTTCTTGTCAACAACTTATATACCTCTTTAAAATAACATAATTGCACAGCGTACTGTAAGCTAAGCTTTCACTAAAAAAAGCAATAAAATTCATGAGCACTTTCAAATTTTCTTGGAGATAAATACTCATAATTCAATATAAATAACCTAGCTTGTCTTTTATAGGTACAATCACATCGATCAAAAGTACAAAGAGATAAAACAAACTTTATCAAATATTATCAATCTCATTTCATATATTTCGCAATTAATTAACATAGAATCAAATTATTCAAACAGACAAGAAATCCTCACGAGTCATCTCATGATCTCCTTTGCCCAAATCATCATCAAACTCAAAAACAATATCTAGATTGTAAAATATAGGAACTAAGGCAACCGAACAAAGAAAAACTAGGACAGGCCCAAAAATCCAAAGCAAAAGTGGTAGGGCAGCATAAAAAAGCCTATTTCCAACAATGTTTAACACAAACCCTTTCTCCAATAATTCACACACATAACTTGGTGGAATTTTAGCAGCTATTAGGTCATGTTGAGGCGTATTAATCAAGAAATTAACTTGATTAATGAACCTAATTGATAATGAGTGGCACATAAATGAGAACAAGAAGATGAGGAGCAAGGTCACATATTTGAGAGCCATCATGAACTCGCCGTGTGCACCATACACGGTGTCGTTTAACGGCTTCTTGATGCTGTATGTGCTACTTAAGATGGCTGCTAAGCCTGAGCAAAGGAGGATGGAAGTGGTGGCCATTAGGGTTGATCCCATGATTGTGTTCCTTATTGTTTGGACGGCTAGGATGTTCTTCTTTTCATTGTCCTGCATGCAAACGTGTACACCATCAATTTTCATTTTCATGAATGATTGCATATCTTATATAAATAGAGAATAGGGCATACACATTAGACACCACACATGTCCATAAAAAAGAAATTATTATAAAAAAGAAATAACTTCGATAGTGTGTGGAATAAGGTTATATGGCCTTACGTAATGACTACACCAAATTTAACTATAAGTGTGTGGAATAAAGTTATATCTTATAACCCCGTACATGAATAATTACTTCGATAGTGTGGAATAATATCGCTATTACATTATCATGTAGCATTTTATAATGTAATTGCAGATGTATTTATCAATCTTGACGCAATACATACAATAAGTCAATAACTAACATTTTCTTAATATATATGCATGTCAGTAAAAGAAGACAATCTTATGAAACTAATATAAAATAGAGTGATTCCAAAAACAATGGCCTAGTGCTACAACCATTTCAAGGATTTTCAACAATTAAATAAATAATAATACCTTTTTTTAAGGGAAAATAACAACACCTTATATATGCTTCAATAAATCGACAACAAACCCAAACTTTGTTAAAGAGATTACGCACATAAGGCCATAAAATCTATTAAATCAACGTGAAATTGGAAAGAGACAATGTAACAATTACGTGACGTGAATGTTGAACCTTTGATAAGTGAAGATAATGTTGGTAGTTTTTATTAAATATATTATTAACCAATTAGTATGAGAAGATGTGAGCATGTAATATAAAGTAATAACATATTTGCATTATAATTGGACGAGTCATAATTCACTTTATTTTGTTGAGCCATTTACCTATGTTATAAAAGTTTATGTCACAGGCATTATTATGAAACATTTATTGGGTTACATTGGAAGAAAAATACGCGAAGGTTAAAGGTTAATTAGGACAATTACTTAATTGTATGATTTTTGGTTGTAACAAAGCTTATTTTTATTGATTATTGAGTGAATATAGAGTAATACGCATCTAATATATATACAATATTACATTGGAATGGAAGTACATGTTTGTGAAGATATAACTTTTTCTCAATTTTTAAGGACCATTATTATGTATTGAGTACCTAAGAATATAGTGGCCTAAATTTTGTAAAAACTTTTAAATTATCCAATGCTAAATACGAAGTAATTAGTAATTAAGTAATTATAGAAATGCTGAAAGAAGATATGTAACTTGAAGATGTCTAGCAATGCGTAAGCCATCGTACGCTTTAAAAATGTAGCAAGCGTCAAAGCACGAAAGTAAATTTACAAATTAAACTCATCATTGTCATAGTACACTTTGCTAAAATAGTTTGTAAATGACCTTAATCAATCAGAAAGTTTGAGTTCACTTATTTGATTGATTGATGAACAAGTATAATTATTTGTAACCCTTTTTTTTTTTTTTTTGAAAACAATTATTTGTAACCTTAGCTCCAATCTCGAATTGAAATTAAATTGACATTACTTCTTTTCTTAAAAGTATCCCATAATATAAATCTTTATTAAAATTGAGCAATTTAGATTAATTGATTAAGTACACGTGTCAAGGCCAATCAGGTCGTCTTACAAGTTTAGAATAAGACAACGGATGGCAAGCCTAAGGTATATATGAACCAATTTTTTTTCTCTTTTACCCTCATTTATCTTCTCAAATCGCCACCACCACAACACTACCACCCATGATTTCCACATCCTTAGACCACTATAACATGGAAAGAGAGAAGGGGACAAAAGAGAATTATCATAGTTATTTAAATTCTGATTTAAATCTTATAATCAATCATATGATTTTACAATTTATGTATGTCCATACGATTTGAGTTTTAATTATAACTTTATTACAAGTTTAAAAGATGCTTACGAAATCATTTATAAACATATATTGTCAATTATTGATTGCTTGATGGGTAAACAACTACTTCCTAATTTTAAGAAGTTTTTAGCTTATAATTTTTATGTTTAATTAAATTTGGATATGACGTTTTAATTATAAATGTCCTTATAATCGTAATTTTATGATTCGATTTAGAATCATACCTCTATCGATTTAAAATAGAATCTCAATTTTGATAACTTTAACGAGGATTACTAGTTAATGCATTGATGGTATTGTGGGTTAAGTGGGGCATATGGTGGAATAACAAGTGATCGAGACAAGATAGGGTATATCCTTAATTTAAAAATTAAACATATTATATTAAGAAAAAAAAAATCTCGAAGAAAATAGATACAAGTGATTGATTACCTAAGTTTACCTAAGCACAAACTAAAATTATGATTATCTATTTGTAACTACACTAATTTCATTCTTTCTATGTATTCTAAGTATTTAACCATATTTAGCAATGTAGAAAATTTTATTAAATTTATTAAAACACCTTTACACTTGTATAACACTTTGTATTATTGTATAAGTTGTTAAACATCCTTAAATGGCGCGCCAAAATGCGTGCAAACAACTACTAGCTAACTATAAACCGTTATCATCATCACCACCTCACAACGACAGTAGGTATTAGCCGTCTTAATGTTTCATATTGCATGCTTTTTTTCTTTCTTTTTTTTTTCTTAATATATAAATATTATTATAGTAAGTATATAGTTGTAACACTCGTGTACATGCACTATTAGTTTATTATTCATTCTATTTATGAAATATGTTTTTCGTGTACGCATGATAATATCATTTTCATAGGTAAATATCACATTTTATTTACCAAGTTTTCACGAGATTAGTTTTGTTGTTCTTAAATGTCTTTTCTTTTCCTCATGTATAATCATCATACACATGGAACTTGTGTTTGTGATGATGTCTAGTTGTTATATTAGGCAAGGTAATATAAGTTCAAACGATACGTAACCAAACAAGAAATGAAAACTTGTTACACAAGGATGGAGATGCATTGCCTTAGAATTAGTGTGCTACAAAAAAAATATACTTCATACATGAGATGTTCTCGTTTTTATTTTTAGTTACTACAGAACTATAATACTGTCAAAAAAAAAGTCAAGATAAGATATAGTAACACCTCATACGGAGTCATTATTACTGTATATATTTCATAAAAAGTTGATGAAATAGCTTATTTTAGTAATTAAATTATTTTAAATAATGATAACACCAAATCATACGTGTTAAATTATTAGGAAAAAAAAGTTTCGAATATAGGTCTTCATCATAGTTAATATAATTAATTAACCAATTTAAAAGAGTGCAATGGAGTTCAAATTCACCCAGAGTTAGTTAACTCTTCTAATGATATGCTTCTTAAACGAAAAAAAAAGGCTAACTAATTGGTCAAGAATATAATTTAATTAATTAAGTACAAATGAAAAAATTTATACACACTTTAGTAACCACTCACACATAGGCTTTAATCTTTCTTTCCATGATTACTTCTTTTTTATGTTGATTAATTAATTTATAGATCAACTTCTACACAATTTAAATTTTTTTCGCCCAAGTAATCCAACCCAAGGTTAGTTAGCTTACTTAACCATCTAGAAATTTATGAAAATTTAACATGAAATCTTTATCATTTTCACCAAGCACAACAAAAACTTCAATTGAATGTAATAAATTTAGCATTAATATATATAGTTATCTACTCATTAAAAATCACTTCCAACCAAATCGGATGTCTATTTAAATATAGATCATCCAATGAGTCACGGATGTAGAATTATAACTTACCTTCATAATGGCTGCAACCCAATATCTTCTTGCATGAGAATTAGTGCCCATGATGGTAGAGAGGGGCTGAGTTCGAACCTTATTCCATATCCATATATGATATATAGTCAAAACCAAGAAACTCAAAGGCACCAATAGCAAATCCAAATAACATTTTCTCCATTCCATCTCTCTTCAATATGATAATTATTTGCCCTCTCTTTTATTTATTGTAATATAGTTTATAAACAAGAATGTTTGAAATGCTTTTTATTTTATTTCTACTACTTAGTTAAGTTTATAAGTAGAGGAATATATATAGTGTGTATATACTGGTGGAATGAAATGTACGTGGACGTGTTTGAATAAGATGTGCAATTTGCAAAAACATGATGAAAAAGACTAAAACATATAATTAAAGTTGAGTACAAAGAAATAAACAAACCACTTAAAAAAAAAAAAAATAAATAAAGGTGTGACGGGCTTTATATCCTTTACCTACTAAATAAGCAACATGATAAATCAATTATGTGGAACTTGTCTCATTCTCCCACTTTGTTAGGTCGACCATATTATATTTCACAAGTAGCTAATAGTATTGCTCATAAATTTTAATGGATATATGTACATTATGCATGCATGCCAATTTTGAAATAGCATACATAATATTATGAATAAATAATTAAGAGCTTATACTTAGTACAAAATTGGAAAAATTAACCGTAACAACACTAACTATACATAAGGTGCATACAACAACTAAATAACGAACACGAACACATTTGATTTGGCGTTAAAAATACAAAAAATCATTGATTAAGAGAAGATAGAAAGGATAGGAATGATCACTACTTTTAAAAGATGGAATAAACTAATAAGTTAAGGGAGTATTTGGAAACCTCTTTTGTGTTAAATTGTTTTAATTAATATTTACATTTTCTTTTGTTTTAACACTTATGGCACGTTTGTAAGGTGGTCATAAGCGAGGTAATGACAATGAATTTGTTTGTAAAATTATAAGAAAAATCAAGGTCAATGCCCATAGTAATGCTAGCTAGCTCATTCCAAATTGACCGATTTTCTTTAAAATTTTCTTTCCAACCTAATACCTTTTCCTAGGTGGTAATAAATATGGTAATGAAAAACATGAAGAAGACACATGCTTGAGGATGAAATTGCATTGCTATGGGGATTACAATGTTAATTTCTATTCTAATTTACATGCATTTGAATTTCATTTTCATTACCTTTATTTATTACCAGCTATTAAAAGAGCCATTAGTACTATATTCTACTACCTCCATTAAATGTTATGTGCAACCTTGGGGTATTATTTGTGAGATATAAAATATTCTAAATTTGCACATAACATATAACGGAGGCAATATTTAGGATGGACCGTGACATGCATTTTATGCTCCTGTGTTTTTTTTTTATTAATCGCACCATTAAGTATGGGCACAATTTTTAAGAAAAAGAGTATGTGAAACAAACAAATGAGAGAGAGAAAATGTGGGTAACAATAGTTGTTATTACATGTGAATAAGGATAGATAATTAAGGTATTACCGTCCAGATGTACCATCTATCCAACCCAAAAACTTCCTTTTAACGAAATGCGAATAACCCAACAAATTTAATTTGAGATTTCGAATGTGAATTATTGTAATCCATTTAACTAGAATTTGTTCTTGAGTTATTCGAATCTGAATATGTTTCATTAGAGTACAAAAATTATATTCTCAATTTCATGCTATACTTATTTTCTCTTTTTGGATTGCGCAATCAATTAGAAATTGATGTTATTCTTGTAATAAAAAGTCATCATATAATGTATCTCTCTCAAATTCGCGTGCAGCTTCATTAATAAGATGTTTGGATGATCGATTAGATGTAATTTGTGCTACTCTATATAGATAATGTCCCACTTAAGATTGATGATATTCTTATAGTGTATTTAACGTTGGAAAATTCTTAGAGCACTACTATAAAAAGTTGTGCAAACATTATGAACGTGGATTTAATATATATTGCAAATCCAATCCACCCGATTCTTATCAATCCGATTTGGTCGTTATTTTGATTCGATCCGAAAATCCGAATTAAAATACATTGCAAATGTTTAAGGTCTAAAGTGATTATTAAAATAAAAATGCAATTGTAAATTTGTACATTATTAGTACAATAAACAATCATTATTTGTAAAAGTATGGTTTCATATTTCGGTTAATTCGGTTTTTTGGATTCAAATAAGGTCAATTCGATCCGAAAATCCACAAATCCGAATTTTTAAAAAAAATCAATCTGATCCGATCCAAATTAAAGTTTGGATCCAATTCGAATTAATAATTTGATTTGAATTGGATTGAATTTCAATTTTTATTTGACTAATAAACACCTCTAGAGACTATCAACTCGAGTATGATATATTGATATGTCACAAGTTTCAAATACTATGCCTTCATACATTAGTTTCTCGTCTTCTAGCTATATAATTGAAATAAAATAATACACTAAGATTTTTGACGAGCACTAAGATTTTTTACGAGCCCAAGCCAGCTACAAACATCTCTAAGCACACTCAATTTTTAGGGGGTACGGTGTTTGGTTTATCAAGTTGGAATGAATTGGTATGAAATCTCATACTAGAGAGGTATGAATGTTAAAATTCATACTGTTTTGGGGTTTTCTGATGTCCTGCGGGAGAGCTACAATTCCGAGACTGGAACCGGACGCCTGTACCTGCAAAATAACGGAGACTCCTGAGAGCTCCGCCTCCAACGGTCAAGTTAGTACCTGATTAAGGAGTAATTAATACAGAAATTAAAGTAATAAGGTCTCTCTAGGTGAGAGTATTTAATGTAGGTAATCTGCTTTGCTAGCGAGATCAGCCGGTTATTAGTGTGTTCCGTAATGTTTCTCCTCCGTTCCGTTAATTATTCGGTCCCTCGATTAATGAGGATTAATCGAGTATTTATAGCCTTGGGAAGCGTGCAACTCTCTAGGTTTAAGGTAAACCTAGGGCCGATCGGGCTTCTAGACTGAAATGGGCCTTGATGGCCGGTTGTCCCATTTGGCATGGGTGGACACGTGGCGTGTCTTAAGTGGTCCGTGGAGGACGCGTGGCGGAACCTGGTTGGTCCACTTGTCAAACGGCGCTTGGTGGATAAAAATCCCCTAATCATTTGCCCCTCACAGGTGGCACGCGACTGGTCACGTGTCGCCTGTGACAGGTGTCGCACGGTGACAGGCGACGGCCCGTTACAGGTGTCACCTTGCAGACGGCCGGGAGATCCTCCCGCCCAAATTTGAATTCGGAAGCGACCCTTCGCCTTCTCATTTTGCCTATAAAAGGAAGTGCTGACTTCGGTCATTTTCACATTTGAGAATTTTTGCGAGAACATTCGAACCCCTGAACTTGATCTGACATTTTCGGACTTTTTCTGCCTACCGCCTGTTCTGACAAACCGACTGACCCGAACTTTCAGGACTTCATCAACTGTCATCCGTTCAGGTAACTCAGTTCTCTTACTCTTAATTTTCTTTTTATTTTTTGAAATGGCACCATGGAAGCACACGACACGCCCTAAGTTAGTGATCAGCCGGTCACCGGGGACGGCTGAATCTAGGACTAGGAGTGCCGCCTGCCCTTTTCTGGACCCATCTTTGCCCTTTATACAAAGTCCGACTGAATCTGTGTCTATGCAGAACGTGATGGCCAGAACAAAAAAGACTGCTAGAATATCAAACTCAGACGGCTCCTCCCAAAGGGTACTCCTTAGCGAAACATCTGACCAGGCGCCAGATGTGGAACGAGGCGACTGTCAAGCTGACAGTTCTGAGAGAGGGACCAAGGTGTTCCCTTCTCATCTAACCGTGGACATGTCTAATTTACCTTCTGCTCCTTCTAAGGGAGAGGAGGCGGGCCCCTCTAGGAGAGGGGAGGCGTCGTTCTCTTCGGACTCGTCAGGGGACGAGTCCGATTCCAGCTCTTCTGACCATAGTTCTTCTGACCATAGTTCTTCTGACTCAGAAGAAAAACATAACCGCCTACAAGAGGCGAGAAGTTCCCATGCAGTGGAGAAGGGGGATAATTGGGCAGAGCCGTCCGCCTCTTACAGAGAGGAAAACACCCCCTACTACTGCAGGGTGCCCCGGGGCCGGATCGCAACCATGCGAGACAACGTGGCGAGCTTTATTGCTAACCACAAAATGGGCCCGGAGTATTTACTGTTTGTGCCGGATCCAGAAGATACTGTCGTCTGGCCGGCTGGTACCAGCTATGGTGACGGCTGTTTTGGCTGCTATGTGGCGGCCATCAAAGCTGGTCTGCGCTTCCCATTACATCCGGCTGTTCAGCGGATTTTAGATGGGTATGATCTGGGGTTATGGCAGTTAGCCCCCAACTCTTGGGTAAACGTACTCGGCTATGTGGCCGGGTGCGAACTGAACGGGGTGGAGCCAAGTTTTGAGGCTTTCGCCCACATGAACTATCTCAGCCGGACCCCTAAGTCGGGAGGTACCGGCTGGTATCAACTAACAAGCCACAGGGGTTACCTCATGACGAGAGGTAAGGCAAACAAATGGAAGGATTGGCGGAACACCTTCCTTATTATCGAGAGTTCAGACACGGAGCTGAACAAACGTTTTAACAAGTGGAACAGAGATCCGCCTCTTCTTGCAGGCGGCCGCAGCATGCCGCCTGTTCCCCCAAAGGCTAAAAGAGAGATCCTAGACAAAGGACTCTTCAAAGTAGAGACTAGGGTGAACTCTACTTCAGGGGTACGAGAGCAAGTACCCCTACACTGCGTCCCGAGCTTCAAGTGGCTCTATGATGAGTACTTCTTGGCCGCCTGTGGCCTCGGCAGTCGGTGCTCTAGAGGTAGCCGGCCTGACGAATACTCTGTTTTCTCACGCCTTGTTTACTTGGGATTTTTACTAACTTTGCTGTTTATTTCTTTCAGCCGACGCCATGAGTAAAATAACAGCATCTAAGACTGCGGCGGCCATGCTGCGGGTTTCGCTAATGAAGCAGTCGTACGCCGACTCCCCCAGCAAGGAGGCACCCTTGGTAAGCTTTGAAAACTCTTCCCCTTTAAGTTGTATTATGCATATACTAACTCTTTTTGTTTTCAGTCTGGCACTCCAAGGGCTTCTTCCTCGCAACAGCCGGACCCCAAGGCCCGGAGAACGACTGTTGCAAGCTCTCCTGGGTCTTCCAGGAAAACAGTGGCGGCTGAGAAGCAGCCGGCCACTTCTTCAAAAACCCAGGCGGGGCCGCCTAGATGTATGGACACTTGCTTGTAAAAACTCACTCTTGCTTCCTTCTTGATTAGGTCTAACTTGTTTTTCCTTCTGCTTAATGCAGCCGGCCCCCAGGGACTTGACTTGGTTGAGGTAGCCAAGTCAATGGTTAAAGTAGTTCCTCCCTCTGACAGGGAGGCGGTCAAGGGTGCCGGCACCCTTGACCTCGATGGAATTTCGGGGATCCTAGCTGAGGTATACCCTTTTGAAGTTCCAGGACGCCTGTTAACCCTTATGATTGGA